GGGAGGAGCCTCTTCAGGCCACGCCCAGTGGGCGGAGCCTTGAATAGCCGCACCCCATCTGTGGGCGGGGCCTCAAAAGGACCACACCCCCCCAATACCCCTTTAGCAAACCACACCTTGGAGATGCCCCCCCACTCCCCATGGGAGGAGCCTCTTCTGGCCACGCCCGCTGGGCGGGGCCATCACTGACCACGCCCCCTCTATGGGCGGGGCTTTAAAGGGCCATACCCTCCCCCAGCAGATACCCCTTTATCAAATGTCCTCCCCAGAGGTGCCACCCCCACCCCATGGGAGGAGCCTCTTTAGGCCACGCCCCCTCTATGGGCAGGGCTTTAAAGGGCCATACCCACCCCCCCAGCAGATACCCCTTTATCAACCCCCCCCCAGAGGCGCCACCCCCACCCCATAGGAGGAGCCTCTTTAGGCCACGCCCGGTGGGGCGGAGCCACCCATAACCACGCCCCCCTCTCGGTGGGCGGGGCCTCACCTGCCTGCCCCACGTTCATCATGCTGTACATGGTGTACATGTTGCAGATCTGGCGGTACTGCTCGTCCGAGCCTTCCTCGCCCCCGTCCTCCTCCTCGTCCTCCTCGTTGTGGAAGGAGCCGGGGCTGTCGCTCGTGTAGGCGCTGGAGGTGCCTCCGGGGCTGGTCTGATCGGCCGCGCTGGGGCCGGGGGCCGCCGACGCCGCCAAAGCGGGGGGCTGTGCCTGGCGTCCCGGCTCGGTGGCGGAGAATTTGGCCATCTTGCGGCTGCCGTTGCCGCCGGCGGCGCCGTCCTTGGAGCCACCATCCCAGAGGCGCTTGACCACGAAGGTGCACTGCACCCCGTCGGGCTCCCCCTGCTCCGTCTTCACCCGCGAGACCAAGGGCAAGGCGGCCGCCCCCGAGGGCCACCCCGAAGTTTGGGCCACGGGGCTCTGGGGCTCGGAGGAAGGCGCCTCCTCGCCGTGCAGCCCTTGCGAGTCGCAGCTGGGCGAGCTGACCTTGAGGAAGAACTCAGTCCCCTTCTCCATGATCTCCTGGATCTGCAAGAAACCGGCCGTGTACATCAGGAGGAACTGGTCGCCCATGTTCATGCTGAGGCGCCCCGTGTAGCAGAAGCTGAGGATCTGCTGGAAGGATTGGGGCTGGACGGCAGCCGGCAGCTCCACCACCGCGCTCTTGCTGCTGTTGAAGAGGTCTCGGAAGTAGGAGCTGCTGGCGGCCAGCACGGCCCGGTGAGCCTTGAACGCGTGGCCCTTCACCACCACCGAGACGTCGCAGTACAGCCCCTGCAGCCGCTGCTCGTTCAGGCACTCCAGGATGCTGTTCCCGAAATTGGGGATCTCCATCTGCAGCGTCTGAGCCATGGCGGGAGCCGAGGGGGGCCTGCGGGGAGGGGG